CGTGGATGGCAATAGTCGGGAATGGGTGAGTGAAAAAAGACAGTACCATCGCTGTTGCCCTTTAACACGGTGCCTTTGGCAACCACGTCAAATCAGATGTAACAAAAAAAAAAAAAAAACACGGGGTTTCAACAACGCATACACCCACACACATATATACATATATATATATATATGCATGTATGTATTTGGTCTCGTCTGGTCTCACATTCCTCCCAATGGTTAAAAATAAAATAAAAAAGAGGTTGTGAAAGTCAAGAGAAAGTGATAAAAATACGTCCGTTCCCCCCCCCCCCCCCCCCCACCCAAAAAAAAAAGTAAAAAAAAAAAATTGTACGTTCGTCCAGACAAACACCTGTTGTCATGTAAATAAATAAATAAATGTAACAAACACACACATACATGCGCATACATTCCATACATAATGTATCAGAAGACGGGAATGAAATTAAATGTGCAATGTTAAAGAAATAGTGCCAATGGGCGCGCCTCCAATATGAGAGAGAGCGGAAACGCACCCCGGCTTTGGGACGTACTCTGCGTTCATGCAGACAAACAACAACAACAAAAAAAAGACATACGATCCCACCGCTTGTGCACGCAGGCATTCACGGAAAAGAGCTCCACTACCACTCCCTATCTCCACCAATAAACAAACCAAAAAAGCAAAATGGGGATGGTGAAGACACACAAAAAAAAAAAAAAATGGGGGAAGGCGAAAGGGCAATTTTTTGACACACGCACAGAGAGAGAAACAGAGAGAGACAGACAAGCATTAAAACATGCAAAAAAAAAAAAAAGATCTCTCAACGCCGTTAGTGCAGAAACAGCAATAAAACGGGGTAGTCACATCATGAGGGCCGGAACCAAAAGATAGGCCCGGACACAAAAAAACAAAAAAAGAAAGACCAGAAAAAATTAGAGACGGGCCCACAGCTATCCACAAGTAGTGAACAATAGTGAAAGTGTGGGAAAAAAAAAAAAAAAAGAGCGCACACTGTCACGTTTCAACGTGTTTTCAATTTCGTTTTATTATTTTTGTTGTTTTTAATGTTTTAATTTAAGTGGGGAGGCGCACTTATTCTTTTCCCCGGGTGTCGCTCGCACCATCCCCGCCTTGCGGCTCTCAAAATTTCCTCCAAAAAGGAAAAAAAAAAAAAAAAAAAAAAAAACGTTTTCTCCACCCTTAAATCACCTCCAGCTTCACCCATAATTTGTTTCCTTCCCGGCAAGAAGTCAATTAAATTAAATTAAATTAATAAAAAGCAGCAGGCCGATGAAGCAAAAAGGCAACAGACGGCAGCACGACAACACCGCGTCAAACAGCACCGGTTCACTTAACGCCCACAAACAACACTGCACGGAAAGGGAGAAAAAAGGAAGGAAGCGTTCGTAGCGCCATCGAACATGGAATTTATTCCCCCCACCACCAAAACAAGCGGTCATTGCAGTCACCACACAAATAAATAAAATAAACAGACCGAACCCACAGCCACCACCACCAATGAAATAAACCAAATCAACTTTAAGAAGGACGAAGAGTCTGGCATGACGCACAGATACACAACATAAAACAGATGCGTAAAAAAACACAAAATAAATAAATAAATAAATAACACGCAGGGGCGGGTAAATAATGATAAGACTAAAGAAAACAACAACAACAAAAAGCGGACAACAATAAGTGGCAATTTACAGAAAGAAGAAAAAAAGAGCATCAAAAAAAAAGAAAAAAAATGGACTGCGCTTTCCACAGGAACCTGCAGGAGTTGACGCGCCAGAAAAGGTCCAGTCGTGGGCAACCAAAAAAAAAACGGAGTTGGGAATCCTCCCCCCACTTCAAAAATAAAAATAAAAATAAAATAAAGAAACACATCACCCATACACATAAATACACACAACCAAAAAGAAAAAAACAAATGCCCCTCAAAATGCTCCACGGCTTCACGGAAAGCACGTGCCCCTCCCTCCAGGACGTGCATCCATGGCATTCCTTTCCTACGCATCCCTTAAAAATAAGACAAAAAATACGCGAAAAATAAATAAATAAAAATTATTTCTCCCATTTTTAATTTCACTCCATATATATATATTTTTTTTCATTATTGCCCCTCATTCTCTCTATCTATCTTTTTTGTTTGTTTTTTGTTTAGATTTCTTTTGATTTACACCGCTCCTTTTTTTGTGCGTTCTCATCTTCCAATTTATTTGCTTTTCCCTTCAATCACTACCCTTCTGTCATAAATCCAGTGCAGTTTACGCCCCCTGCCACTGTTTACCCTTCTCTGCGTTCACCTCCCAGCATACAGCATTCCCTCCCCCAGGATCGCACATAAGTTCCAAACTCTACCCATTCTCATTTCACCGCGGCCTAAATCCCCATCAAAATCGTGTAACTAGTTGATCGGTTTGTAGGGATTATGGCGGTAAACGCGGAGAAGTTTGTCCATATGACCGGAATGCCTGTCAGCAGCTTTATTTCTCGTAATAACTCCACCGCACGCAGCAAGAACAGTCTCCTGGGGAGAATTTAAAGGCATCTGGCATGGCGACGGAGTAGTAAATGAGAGTGAGAAATTGCCGGCCCCTTGCATGGGTGTAGCGGGAGAGACGGTAAATCCACATGGACTTCCCAAAAAGCCTTGCCCAATAGACCCCTCAAATGTTTTGTACGCAACGCGAGGGATGTTTTTCGCACCCTCGCCTGGTATCGGGAGGGCACCACTGGAATCGCAAGACAAACCCAAAGAAGACATCATGGGTGTTTGAGACATCGGCGTGAAGCTTCCCATACCAGAACCCCGCGTGCCTCTTTCTATCCTCAAGATATGTGCGTCTTCAAAGATTTTATTGTACTCAACGGAAGAATTGTTGTTCCTATTAAAGCTCATATTGGAACCGTTGAGCGGTACAGATGTTACAGCTTCATTGGCTGACTGAGACGCAGCCATACAGAAGGGGCCCAGCTCTTGCGGCACCACGTTTAAGGGCAAGGAGTCCGCCGATTGTGTTTTAGGAAACACCTGAGAACCAAAATGCTTATTCGACGGGAGACGACCATAAGAGCGTAAACTCGAATTCATTTGGCTTTTCCATTCCAAGGGAGAGTCAGAAGCATCTGTTTGTGAAGAACGAGTAGATGAGTTGAACTGAGACATCGACTGTGCAGGGGGACGTTTAAAATCGCCCTCAACATTAGGGTCCACATACACTGCATGAATAAAATTACAATTTTCGCCACGATTGCACATCCTGTTGCAGTAATAGTGAACACAATGAGAAAGTCGTCGTGAATTGTCTTCTCGATACGACAAAGCGCGTCTAGTCACAAGAATACGTTCACTGGGGATCAAATCCGGTTTCTCACTCCCGCTGTGGGATAGCACCTCAAGAACATCCCCGGGAGGCAGCCGCTCATAAATGCAAAGCTTCTCATCACGCCAAATGTAGTTCACATGAATGGGCTGCCCCTCCAGCGTTGAATAGTCCACGTCCGCATGTACAAAACGGCAGCCTTCTCCCTTTGGACATGAGTCTGCCTCACCGCACCTGTAGTTCCGGCAAATAACAAATCGGGAAATATTAAAACGTGCCGGGGGTGTGTGGACCACCAAATGGGACGGCACCGTGTACAGACACTTGAAATTTGAGTCAAATACCTCCAACTGGCTTCCCGTGGTGGTATTCGCAGCGGACCCTTTCGACGGCATTACTCTCTTCCTGTCCCGTAGCTTGTGGTGAGGAGATAAATAGAGACTGTGTTCCTTTTCGCTATCGCCTGTGGTTAGCTCTTCTGCGTCGTGGATGGCAAAAAAGAAGGTAGGATAAAAGAAAATAAATAAAAGGGCAATATGTGAGCTCATTTTACCCTCTTGTCTTTCGCAGAAGGCCGCGACATCCGTGAGGAATAAAACACAATCGCGCTTGCCACTTTCTCCCCGCCCCGCCACGCCTCGATCGCAAAAAGTCAAAACACTTCAAACAGAAAGATGTCAAAAATATAATGCAGTAGTCGCGGTGAAGATCCCCTCTGCACGCAGAGTGTGGACTGCGCGGCTCAATTCTTGGCAGCCGCGCCATCCACCTCTCAGGCATCCCCCCTTGACAAATGTACTCCCACGCGCAGACGATAACATTAAATTATATATATATATAATATAATATACAATTAGTACCAGTAATGGGGGCTGCCATGAACAACGCGGCTCACATATATAAAAAAAGAAAGGGACACGCACGCGCAGAGACGAACCGCCGCGCCCATTATAAGTACATTCCGCCAAACCACCGGCATGCGTAGGGAAGCACAAAAAACAGAACAAAAAAAAAGATGGAGGAGATGCAGCGAACCGCACCACAAAGACGCACGCACGCAAAAACACAAAGATAAACCAAAAATCTTCTTACTGGCCTCACAGCAGAACAAACAAATGAAAAACAAATAAATAAATAATAAAAATAAAAAGAACTTGACAACAAAAAGCACAACAAAAACAAGAGTCAAAAAAGAGGTGGCCTTCAGTTATAAAAACTAAAAGCCCCTTACAACAAGTTATCAAACAGAAAAAATAAATATTCACACAAAAATAGAAAATAAAAAAAAAGACAGAAAAAATAATAAAAAAAAACGATGGGGCACTGCGTGAGGCCTCAAGGCACAGTCACAATAGAAGCGTACAATCGAGTTAACATGCAGACAAGATGCATAGACACACAACCCAAGATACCGCAAAATTACAGCTAGCCCGTGACCCATCACGGCAGCAATAAGTAGAGCCAAAAGAACTCCCTTTATCCCCCACAACAACAACAACAACAAAAAAAAAAAAGCTGGCACCACTATCAGTCAAATCCGTTCGCTCAACAATTAACGTTAAAAAGAGAAAAGAAAACCCAATAAAATATACTGATAGAAAAATAGGCAAAAAATATTTAAAACTAATAAAAAGAGAAAAAAAAAAAAAAAAATCAGGCAAACACACAAAAAACAAACAAACAAACTAGAAAATGCCATAAGGATCGTGTCGGTAAACACGAGCACGCCTCATAGCAGCCCGCCCACAGGCGGAACCAATCATTTGTACACCATTCGGTTCGCGGCACTTCAATCCGACCAATGGCTCCAGCGTTCCCTCCTCACCTGATGAGCTGTGCCGTGGTCCCTCGCTGCTTGCTTCTGAAGGGCCGTTCAGCCCCGCCCACGAATTCAGACCCTCAGCATTAACAGTAGGCGCCATCACCCCGTCGCCACGGCAGTTCCTAGCATCAATTGTCACTGGAATCTCTGGCGGCACACCACACTTTTTACGTTGACGAGAACACTGGAGTTGACTGTCGCTATCGGCGCTCTCAACAGACGACCTCAAAGCACCTGGTACACGCTGGCGGTGCGAACGACCCGCTGCACGCTTGCAAACCTCAGATATAGTTGGGTCAACATAAATTGCGTGAATGAAACTGCAGTCTTCGCCGCGGCTGCACAGGTAATTGAAGTAGTAATGTGCACAATGCGAAAGTGTTTGTGGTCTCCCTTTCGAAAATGAACGCGCACCCCGTGTCGCAAGGACATACTCACTTGAGATCATCACTGCAGGATGCTTGCAATTCGGCAGCAACACTTCCAAAACATCCCCGGGAGGCAGCCGCTCATAAATGCAAAGCTTCTCATCACGCCAAATGTAGTTCACATGAATGGGCTGTCCCTCCAGCGTTGAATAGTCCACGTCCGCATGTACAAACTTGCAGTTTTCGCCCATATTACATGAGTCCGCCTCACCGCACCTGTAGTTCCGGCAAATAACAAATCGGGAAATATTAAAACGTGCCGGGGGTGTGTGGACCACCAAATGGGACGGCACCGTGTACAGACACTTGAAATTTGAGTCAAATACTTCCAACTGGCTTCCCGTGGTGGTATTCGCAGCGGACCCTTTCGACGGCATTACTCTCTTCCTGTCCCGTAGCTTGTGGTGAGGAGATAAATAGAGACTGTGTTCCTTTTCGCTATCGCCTGTGGTTAGCTCTTCTGCGTCGTGGATGGCAAAAAAGAAGGTAGGATAAAAGAAAATAAATAAAAGGGCAATATGTGGGCTCATTTTCCCCTCTTGTCTTTCGCAAAAATGGTAAATAATGTTGCAATAAAAAAAAAAAATAATCAGAACGCAAAGACACATTTTTTCTCCTGTACTTTACGCAAATTTCCTCAGTCTCAAAGAATCAATGTTTCAATCAAATGGATATTTGTTTATGGAGAACACATGAGGACATAAAACAGTGTTGATGGAGGTTCGAGCACTTAAAATGGCGCAAAACAATTCCAGACAGTTTTACGGAAAAAGACAAACAATCCATAAAAATAATTATTGAAGACAAAAAATAAAAAAAAATTTCAAAAACTCTCCTCCCCCTCCCAAAAATAATAATAATAATAATAATAATAATAATAATAATCCAACAAAAGTATGCGGAGCACAAAATAAAAAATATAGATAAGTAACAAAGCAAAATCGGTAACCCGTAATAACCTCAAGACGTCGTTCTACGGCTGTTGCAATATTGCTTACACGCCCACCCCATAAGAAATCTTAGTAAAAAATCTGTCCGTAACAACTCGACAAGACGTACCATCAATCTTTATTCATAAATTCATAGCGTTTTAAAAAACCTTTCAAACAAATATTTGATCATTTATCACTCATATACTTTTCAGACTAACCAATTCCCTCTTCAGTGGCTCTTCACTATGTGTTCTCAAAAGAACTCGAACACCCGCACACCGCCCACCATCGCAGAGCACGTCCGCCCTGCTGGGTGGAAGTGTGAAGAAGAACCACCACCCCCGAAAAGGAGGCCGCAGCGGAGGGCGCGAAACGCACACTTTACGCAGCCGCCCCTGCCGGCGCGGTGGCTCGATGATCCGCCGCTGCCAAAAACCAGTAAAATAACAAATCAGCAAATCATTAGGCCAATTCATCCGTCAACAAAGAGAACAAAAAAAAGGCGCCTTCCCGGAGCATCGATTTCACGCCGCATCCGTGAGGGGCGTCGTGCCTCCTCGCCGCGTGGAGGCGCTGTTGGCGACGGAGCCGTTCCACTTCAAGGAAAAACCGCGCCAACTTTTTCGTGAAGCGCGGCTTCCTCGCTTCCTCACTGTCCAGTCCATGTGTTTCCCGGGCGCCCGCAGAGCCGGGCATCGGAGTAGATGCAGAACTGTCTCCTCGCGCTGTTCATGCGGGCCGGTTCTCACAATGTCAGGTCGACCTCCGTGGCGTGCTGTGCGGTGGTGGGTCGGTCCGTCACCGCTGCGGCGCCAAAAGCCGCATGCTGCACAGCGAAATTCGACCGGTGGTGATCCCATCGGGGTGTTGTCGCCGGGTGAGTTGCGCCTTCTCGGCGGCCTGACCTCTTTGCCATCATGGAATCGGCGACGGTATTGTATTTATGAACGGATGCGTACGTGACATTTTGGGCACACAGTGCACTGTGCCTGGGCAACATTCTCCTCCTTTGCGGAAGCAAAGTCTTTGTGTGAATCTGCTCTTCTTCCTGCTGGGCTTCGAGCTTTACGGCGCATGGGTATTTTATCTCCATTTTTGGCGTCGTGCCTTTCTTGCTGTCGGGATGCTTTTGCCGTGCGTGTGTGTGGCCAATCCCCCGGTATTTCCCGCCTGTTTGTCGCAGGAAGGGCGCTGAAGGAGTGCTGCGATCTTTGGCGCCTGCTGCAGCTCGGTTTTGGTACGCTCGTGGGCTTTCATTCGGGGTAGTAGTCCCGCCTTTGTTTGGTCCTTGAGTCCACAGGAAACGCATTGGAACGCGGTGGGCGCAGCCAGACCGTCATATTCCCGGGGACGCCTCCTATTTGTCGGGGACAGCCCTGATTGCGGAAGTGTTGATGATGAAAACCGAGTCCGGCTTGTTGTTTGTACGACGCCGAGCAGAGGAATGGCTTTGGCCTGGCCCGTGCATTCTGTGGCGGAGGTGCGGTCGGTGTGCCGTCTCTCGCTCTCGTCCACACCAAAGTGCTGGGCGGTGGTTCCAATGGGATTCCTGGCGGTTTCGGCTCACCGCGAAAGTCAA